TATGATATCCTTAGTTAGAATAGGAGGGCTGTTGAAGCTTATATACAAGTGTAGGTTAGGGTAGCTTTGCCAGACAGACTCTTGCATAGAGTCTCGTGGTACATTCGTTTAAAAGGATGTCGGTTTCCGCGTCCGGTCGGGAATCCGGCGCTTCAGATAATTGGTAGATTAGCTCGAAGCTCAAAAGATATTGGATAGATCGAAAATGCAAATGTTTGGTCAGCAGGATAATTTAGGGTGGTAAGGATTTCGTCTGGATTAGATGGCGAAGTGGATCCAATTGGCTGTGATTTAGAATGTTTTTGTATGTCAGGAATTCAGATAAGGTATTGGATTCTGAGATTTGAGCTTAGTAGTGATGGTTATCCTTTATTGGTTAATGTCAGCGAGAGCAAGGATTCATTTGTCGTCAGTATGTGAGTTATGCTAAGGATGGGTTCGATTATTAGAAGGTCATCGTATGTTAGGGTCAACTTTTATCAGGGATTTGGAAGATATGGTCGGATTGTTTGATTTCCTGGAAACTAGTAAGGAGTGATTTCGAGGACGAAATCTAATTTAAGTGGGGGAGAGTTGTAACACCCCGTTTCGAGTCGTTTCATAATTCGGGGGCTATGACCCAAGGATCAAGTATCATAAGGCTTCAGGATTTGGTAAAGAGAGGTTTAGACCCATTTGGATGTGGGAAATGTAGATTACAGAACCAAGAGTTTGGTTGGTGCTTTGGAGTCAAAGGATAAAATGGAAAAAGTGGTGGTTCAGACTTCTTTAACGAATTAGGGATTTTTAGTTCGATGTGTTTTAAGTCCAATGTAATTAGATAGGGTTTTAGAGCTTGTCAACACCTTTCTGTGGATATAAAGATCGTCGAAATCGGATTTGAAACGAAGAAGTTATGACCGTTTGAAGTTAGGGCAGTTTTAGGTTAAGTCGCGTACGATGGGAGTACTCAACATGTATGGTGGGCGTACTAGGCATACCTGGAGTACGTTGGGCGTACGCGATCAGTGCCAAAACCCTATTTTTGTGGTTTGATCCCTATTTAAGCTACTTAACTTCCCCAAACCCATTCCATTCTCAGCCTCCACCTCTCCAACACCCTCCCTTGAAACCCTAACCCTAGTTTGAGCCTTGTGATCAAAAATAAAGGTGTTTTTAAATGCTTTTGAGTGTTCTTGGTGCATCTTGGAGAAGAAGGAGCTCATCCGAGTAGTGTTGGTTGCATTGGATCTTGTAGATCCAGACTTTGTTCACCTTGATCTTTCTTCTAGAGGTATAAAGCTTGAATCTTGATGATGCATTTGTTAGATCTAGCTAGTTTTGGGTGTTATGAGCTTTTTGTCACTTTAGTGCATAAAGTTTAGATCTTGAAAGTTTGTAACCTTGTTATGGATAAAGTTAGAAACTTTATCCATCTAAACATTATATTGATTTAGATCTAAAGGTTGGAGACTTGGACTTAATGGATTAAGTTGAAAAATATTCACTTTTGGTCCCTTTGAGACGTAAACACTAGATCTTAGTTGTTTGGATCATTCTAATGGATAAAGTTGGAAACTTTATCCTTTATGGAGTCATTAGGAACCATAAAAATGTGACCTTGGTCCCTAGTTTTCCTCAATGCATGGTCTTGGATGTCTTAATGGGTTAAGAAGTTATGGTTTTTGGATGTTGAATACTTAATAGCCATGTAAGACCATAAAGTTGGAAACTTTATGGTTACGGATATCATTTGAGGGTTAGATTTGGATTTTGGACGAAAGAGCTTAACGGATTGGGAGGATGGCAGGGCGTACCAAAGGGTACGCTGTGCGTACGTGGTCAGTCCCTCGACTTCTGGTCAAGGCATAGTACGCCCCACGTACTGCTTGAGTATGCCCAGTGTACTCAACTGAGTCGACCCGGTTGACTCGGTTGACTTTTGACTTTGACCAGGATTTGACCAAGTTTAACCTAAGGGCATTTTGGGTAATTTGATTTATAGTTTGAGATTTGGGTTTGAGTTAATTGTATAGGTGACCGGTAGAGATAGATTTTAGAGCAGTGATCGGTGCAGCTATTCTTTCACACTGTGAGGTGAGTTTTTTCACTGTATCCGTTAGTCGAAGGCACCAATACCGGCCTATTACTTTGTTATGTAGAATGCTACTTGTATATGTGATGCTTGCATGAAAGACCAGGATCTGGCCTCTGTCAAATGTATGAAAGACCAAGATATGGCCCCTGACACTTGTATGTAAGACCGGGATTTGGCCCTCTACATTGCAAGGAAAGACCATGGGGATAGCCCATGGCACTTGTATGAAATGGTATGTGGTAATTTTGGGAACTCATTAAGCTTTGTTCTTACAGTTTATGTTTATGTTTTCAGGTATTTCCGGTATGAAAGGGAAGGGCCAGGCGTGACTGCACCACATCCACCAAAGTTTTCCACATTGGCAATTTTCAATATTTACTCTGATTTTTAAATAATATATTCACCTTGATCGGTTTTGGAAAAACTCGTTTGTATGGTTTATTGTTTTAAAAATGAAAATTTTAATATAAATTTTTGGGACGTTACTAAAATCCAAAAAGTTTTTTTCATATTTTTGTCTTTAGTTTTTCAAAAACATTCAAAAATCCAAATTTTTTTTTTCAAAAACACTCAAAAATACAAAAATACTTTATTTTTATGTTTCAAGCTGTATTTGCTGGCATGTGTATTTTCTTGGGGATCGGTTGTTATTCATGTTTGCATTAGTTTGGTTTCCCTATAAGCATGTTGCATCATGTAGTCTGTAGTTTCAAAGATTCTTGGTTTGTGAAAAGGCCTTAATGAAATTTCTTTTTCTAAGGATTTCTTCCCAATAGGCCGTATTAAAAAAAAATCATCGATCTACCTATCTCTACTCATTTCGGAGTTTAGAGATTTCTGCTTGGTCAATCTTTCGTAGCAGAGGTACTATATTTCTTCTAACCAATCTTGGAAACCAATGATGTCTTGGGTATATACAAATCCAAACATAGGGTTCCTAACTAAACCTTAACGAATTGATAGATTTTTCAACAATAATTTTTGATTAACCCTTGATCTTTCTATTTTATACCAATTCGGAGTTAGGTTTCTCAATAATTGTTTTTATGATCATTTTCATTGTTAACTTGAGAATGTGAAAAACTCGTTCTTCTTTTCCAATGTTATCTTTGTTACACAATGCACACACTATGACGCATATCCCGAAACACCTCTAGTCTAAAATAACTATGCTGTAGGTGTGCAAAGATTTTGTGTTTATGATCTCTTGGTCATTATTACCATGATCTTTTAATGTTCAAAATCTCTTAATTTTCGTTTGCGAGATCTTCATGAGGTTAATTGATACCAGATTAATTTCTTCCCAAATAAGATCCAACTTTATTGTTTTTTCAAATTATGAGATTTCCGTTTGAACATTTTTTTTTCTTAGCTCGATGTTACTTTTCTATCACTATAGCATTTTTGCTGAACTTGATCTTGGCTACATTGGTTAATTAAGTTTTTCCTTTCCTATCTTGGCATATATGTTAAGTTGCTTCTATGATCGAAATGAGCCTACCCATGACACCTATGAAAAGATGTCTATCGTAACTTCTTAACAAGTTGACGATCGTAATTCAACGAGAAACCATACATGCACTTCTTAGTCTCTCTTGACTTTTGAAGGAAGAGAATCTATGCCCATGATCTAACTTCTTTTATATCAAAGATTCTTTGATATCGCTACTTATCCAAAAAAATTATTTGCTTCTATCTTTTCAGTTGGTACACATTTGCACTGAAATCTCTAATTTCTCAAAACTATGGGTTCTATTTCGTGGTGAAAATCTCAATGCGCTTGTGAAAGACAATATTGGTCATATTTCCAATGGATACTATTTCAATTTGTGAAAATTGAAGGGTGGATTAGTGATTGCGAAAATGCTGAAAAATGAAAATGCACATTTCTTTTGAATTATAAAATTCAAGGCGCATATTCAAATGGTTTGACATCATGATGGTCAATAGATGGCGGTTGAAGTTTGTTACAAAATTTTGATGAGGTGGCAACATTTTATTGGTTTGATATGTTTGGAATGACTGGCGTGCTTTCATTTGCTGACATCAGAGACGCAAAACATTTAATGTGTGGTAGCGGGTTTTCTCTCTCCAATTCTATACATGGTTCAATTCAAATCCCACAGCTCTCTCACCGATTAAAAACCCTAACTGTTCATCATATTTCTTTCTATGCTCAAAAACCCTAAACTGGCAACTTTGACAGAGGATTTTCTGCTCAATCTCATGGCTTCTTTTGATCGTATTTCTTTCATGTACTAATCTTTTTCATCTACACTGCTGAATATCAAGTTAAATCATAATATGGAGGTTGTTCTTGATCCATCGAAGTATTCTCAACTGGTTCAACCTCTGATTGTTTGCTCGGATCATTCTATACTGAAGAAAACTTTGGTTATGGTAGAGAATGTCCCGATTTCTCAGCTATAATTGGCATATTCCACTGCTAGTTACAATAAGCCGATGGAGGTTATAAACATTGAAATTCAAAGGGTGAGGACGTCTATTTCTAAGTCTAATTTCTACAAGTTATTAGGGCTTTCAACTGCCGAAGATTTGATTGCTCCAGACACAATTTATGCATCAACCATTATTCATGTATATAAACAAATGGGGTACAACTCTGATTTATCTGTTCTTTCTCGATTTAAGAAGTATGCACCTCCTCCCATTTAGAATGCATTGTTTACAATAATGTTCAAATGCTTTTTCTGAGAGAACAATTGCGTCTGATAATGCAAGTCGATTATTTCACAGTTTGTTATATGAAATTTATTCTGGAGAAAAGATTAATTTTGGAGCTATCTTATGGGATCAATTTGTTCAAAGTCTTTCTTCAAAAACAAAGGACACTGAAATTTCATGTGCTCGTCTTTGGTCCATTGTGGTGAGGAATTCTATGCTCCATTATAATATTCCAGAGATGGGAGATGTTGTTATTGCTAATATTCCTAAGATGCAGACTGCAACGTTTGTTACTTCTGATCCAAGGAACTTCTTGATAGTGGGTTCAATTTCTCAAGCCATGTTATCTCGGGTTCTTGTTGATCGTCCTATCATTGTTGAATATTTGAAGACTGTAGTTCCTACTAGAGAAGTTGGATCTGATTCAATTCATGAAGAAGAAATTCCAAAGAAGAAAGAAAAAATTTCTAATGGAAAAGGGAAATCGATTGTTTCTAAGAAATCTATAAAGCAAAACAAGCAAAGACTTACTCAACTTGTTATTGAAGAAGAATCAAGTGAGCATACTGAAAGCCTTGATCGTAATGAAAATGAGTCTGCTCTCAACAATTAAGAAGATTCTATGAACATTGGGCTGAAATCAACAATTGTTTCAGAGCCAATTCAAACTCCTCTTGTCTCTTCACATATGGAATTTGAAGCAGAAATTTATAAACAGGTTGTTGATGATCCTTTTCTCAATCTTTCTCAAACACCTCCTAGTCCACCAATTGTTTCTGCTACTTTTCAATCCAATCCAATTCCAATAAGTACAATTTTTGCTCCTATTTCTCAGTTTTCAACAACAACATTTTAGATTCCTATTTTAACTGAGGCAACTGTTACTTTTGTATCTCAAACCACAAATTATACAGAACCTCCACTTGAGGCTTCTACTTTTGAGTCTCATCGAGAGGAGAATAGAACCTCAGGCATCCCTGGTAAGACATCTGATGTGGGGCCAAATGTCAATATTAGTGTGAATCTGTCACAACCAAATGTGTTTGCCCCAAAATTCACTTCTACTCCACCTGTCACTGATGATTTTGAAGAAAAAATTCTCATGAAAGATGATTCTGAGTCAAATGATGAGTTTTTCGTAACTGGATTTTCATTTCATATGGAAAGTGATGATGATTAGTGCTATGATGTGACATATAGTTTCTTAGCTTAATTAAGTACACTCTATAAGTCACAAAAGATTTCTAGGTTATCCCTGAATGGAAGGACTCAACATAATTTTTCAATGATTTTGTTCATCCAATCATATTTGATTTCAAATTTTGAAGTAGCAGTGTATTCTTATTTAGTAGACTCCTCAATTACGTTTTTCTTGGACCTCATTCCAACAAAACTTACACTTCATTCCATAGAGAAGTCAAAATTCCAATTATAATTCATAATTATATATATATATATATATATATATATATATATATATATATATATATATATATATATATATATATATATATTGAAGTGAGCATCTTGTGTATCTCTTTACATGAAGATCTTCTTCTAATCTAATTAACTCATATGCATTCTCTCAATTCTTTTTAACTACTCTTAGAATGTATTTATAATCATCTAGTGACTTATCCATTATCCAATTGGTATCTTATGATATGTTCATAGCATAATCATATACCTAGTCTTCTTCATAATATGATATAAATGATAAACTCATTTGTCAAAGCAAATAGAATATAAATCATTTTATATAGCTCAAGCTTATGTGCTAGGTCATTTTGAGACGGACTCAAAACGATGCCATGTGGCAATGTCAAGAGTCCTCCAAAGTAATCTTGTATCTTGATCTTTTTCAAGATATTGTCAGCTGTTGCATATAGATTTTAAAACTTTTAACAATAATCGTTATCTATCTCTATAGATCTTACATTCCATGAATGGATTTTTTTCTTTCCTAAGTCTTTCATTTTAAAAACACTTTTCGAGTCAAGGCGAAAGGGCATTGCATAGTTAGAATGTAGCTTCTCATGATTAAGTATGTGTTGTTCATACAAGATTATGAATATCATTATGCTCTCTCTAGTTCTTAGTTAACACATATGTTCTCTTCATTTTGATTAAAAGCGTACCTTGTATTTTCATTATAAAATGACGATTCCAACCTTGAGATGTTTTTTTATATCCATAATTGGATCTTAAGATTTACACATTTTGTTAGGGTAACATGGATTAAGAAAACCTCGAAGCTAAGCTATATAGACATCTTCAAGTAGGTGTCTATTAAGAAAATAAGTTTTTCTTGAATTCTATTTGTTATATCTCACAATCAGAATATGTAGTTATGATAAATAATATCCTTGTTTATCTAATCTTAGCTACTTGTGAAAAGGTTTGATCATAGTTAATGACATGAGTATCATAAATCAATGGCATGAGTATGAGAAAATCCTTTTACAAAAAGTCTTGCTAAATGTGTATAGATTTTCATGTATGTATTCTGTCTAAAATAATTACGTACCCCTTCTAGCCTTGCTATAGTTAATATTAATCATGCCCATACTTGATTATTAGGAATAGATTACATCTCAGTGTTCATGACTCTAAGTCATTTATCAAATTCAAGATCTGGTATAACATTTTGGTAATTGATGGACTTTGAAGAAACCATCAAGAATAACTTATTAATGAGATATTTCATATTTCTCATGATAGAAATGATTCCTATAATATATATGAACAATTTGTGTTTATGAATAGCTATTATTCATGTTTAACAACTTCTTGTTAAAACTAGTGCCAACTCTTACAACATCCGGTTATGGTTCTTGAGCTACTTCAAGTCCCATCTTCCTCCCACTTTCTTTGTCATTAGAAGCTTTCTTTTTGCTAACTAAGTTTTAAAATAAATAAGAAACCTTATTATTGGTGGGTTTGCATATAATAATATAAACAACCTTTTAGAATATTCTATAAATATGTACTACTAGATGTTGGGTTTAGAGGCTTTAGTCTAACATATGCTTAAAATCAATAAAACATTAAGTAAGATAAGGATGGAGCCATTTCATACTAAATCTTATAAAATATTTTACCTACTTATTAGTTGGTGATTGTATTTGAAATACAAGTCATATTGATTAAGGTATAATCCCAAAAGAATATAGGAATATATTTTCAACCGATTAGAAAGTAAACAATATTAAGTAAGGTTTAATTCATCCTTTATTATCACTAAAGCTTTAGATGGTTGTTACTAGTTTGTATCTCAACTTTATATTTAAAAACTTCAACAAAGGTTTCACAATTATGTTTTAACATGTGTAATCTAATTGCAACAACTATAGTTGTTAATAAAGTTGATTTGATATCTTTTGCTAAATCTTAGACATTCATTAGAAAGGAAGTCATACATCATAGTTTATAGCTCCTTAATACTTATTTTCTCTATAGTTTAGTAAAAATATCATTAGGAATCTTTATGTATAAATAAGATCCACATATGTCCAAAACCTATATTATTTACCTTCAAAGATCCATTTATTGAAGTTGGAATATGTGAATTTAAGTTATATATAAAAAAGATAAAAATGTCATAGTGTCATAGATAAGTTTGATTCAAATCAAGTTTAATAAAAAACGCTTGCATATAGAACTTGTTATCTATAAAACATTGATATTTACTTTATAATTCTATTAGGAAATCTAGTACTCTAAAACATGATTCTAATCATTACAGAATATGAAGGGGATCGTTATGAAAAATAATTTAAGTAAATAATTAAACATTTAATAAATTAACTGAAACATATATATTTAGACATGCTAAATTAAAACATACATTGTTCCAAAATAAACATTGTTTTACAATACAAGTACTTTATGTACTAAGCATAAATTATAAACTAAACTGCGAGAGTAAAGTTCCAACTGCTTGTGTTCGGCTAGTTACTCTTCTTGGAATATCTATAATCATTTACAAATATTAGATTAACATTAAGTATCATGTACTTAACTATTATATTAAAATTATATAAGTCATATGTTGTAGATACCTGAAGTATTAGTATCTCCAGGCTTTCTTCTCAGATAAGAGGGGCATTTCCTCTTCTAGTATCCTCTTTCTCCACAGTAGAAACAATATCATATCTATGGGCCTTCTTAGATTTTTTAGGCTTTAGGTGTCCTATCCATTAACTTTGGCCCTCTTAGATCATACATAGTGACTCTTTTCAGCCTTTGTGACAACCATCAAAATTCGAATCAGTTCTCGATTTGAATAAACTTAGTTGCACGTATATGCACAACACACTCTAGACCTAGAAACTAAAAACTAAGTTATGACCTACTAGAAACTTGGAAAAAATAAGAAACAAGGGATAGTGTGCTTAGATTTCACATTGATGTGAATTCTACAACTACTTTGACTGTAGTGACTATCAAATTCGAGTCATCCCTGGACTCGAGCATCTTTGTACATTCATGTAGATATATCATACACTTGACCTAGCAGTAGAAATTAGGTCAGAGTCTCATCAGAACTTAAGTCAAAGTTAAAAACTATGACTAGTATACTTGATTCTTCAATTTCACTTGAATCTCGGAATCATTACATAAAAATGCCAATAAACTGACAAAAACAAGTGGTAAGCATTATTAATAAATGAAAAAGAGTTATAAGACTCTAAAATAATTTCAAGTCTTAAAAATTCAATTTATTTTGATATCCAAAGATTTATTAAATCTCAAAACCCTAAAAAGTCATAAAAACTTAAATTTATGAAGTTTTACATTAAAATCTCATAGAAATTTTTATAAACTCTATAATATCAAAATAAATATTTAAAATGTGGAAATAATCAAGGAAATTAATTTAACTCATTAACATTAACCTTACTTTTATAAGCTAAATATCCAAGAGATATGAACAAAATTTATATAAAATATACATTTTATATAAATTGAAAAAAAATTATAAAATTTTAAGGAATTAATTATATATAAAAAAGAAAATAAAATCGTCTCTCTCCTCTTCAAGTTTTGGCCATATCTCTCCTGCCTAAATCCCTCTTCCCAAAAACATAATCATTTTCACACTCTCACTAAATCCACCTCTTACTTCTCTCTCTAAAATTTTCTCTCTTCCTTATCTCTAAACAAAATCCGAACTTAGGAGCACAATAACTAGGAGAGATTTTGTCCTTCGATTATTCAAGAGTTTAGACACATTTCGGTATTTTAGTGATCGACTTTGGTGAAGCGAAACTGCAAAGAGATGACGAGAGAGATTGGGTATACAGAGAGACAAAATCTCACTTTTCTCTCTTTTCTTCTCTCTAAAAACCCCCCCGTTCTTTTTCTTTCTTTCACCCACGAATTTGGAAGCTAAAAACTCCATTTTGTCTAAAAAAATATTCATCATTTGAAGTTATTATTAAAGGTAAACTCGAATTTCCCTTCATATTTACATGATTTTCTTGTTTTTCTTCATCTTCCACACCTTCTACATGCCAAGTTCATATACATGCACACATACTTATGGTTTTGATGATGATGGTGGTAGGATTTCACCCAAGAACATCATGCATGTTGCAAATGGTGAAGTCC